TGATGCTCTGCTGCCATACAACCATGATGACCTATGAAATAAAGAGAGAAGGGAGACTTACCTGAAAACCATAATGCCCTAAGCAAACATTCAGGGTCAAGGCGCCTATACCTTGTGTAGACAACATATCGTCACAAACAGCTGGCTATCGTGCAAAGATAAGGCGGCATCGGCGAGACAGTTTCCTTGCGGCTTTCACTGTCCGGGGTTATAATCAGTCATTACCACGCAGATAACAAAGCACACTTTAAACAGGCAATCCGATTAGCAGACGGCAGCAGACGAGCCACTGGTATCGGTTGTGTGCCATATCTTGTAAAGTCTTGAGCCAACCACAAGGTGAGTCACGCGGACTCCATCCCGGAAGAGGAGACGGACCAACGGGATCCTGTTCGGTCGTCGGTAACTGCATTTCGCGTTGCCAAGCCAACTGTCCACCTCGAGTCTTGCGCCACCCTACACCTGGCAGACTAAACAACGCCATCCTATGTAAGCGGTGACCAGGCATACATAGCACGTGCCCGAGCCAAGGCAACTTATTCAGTGCTATCTGTTGTTCTAGGGAGCTAGCATGATTATCACTGTTCCAATAGACTGGAACCGATCCGTTATAGGCCCAATTTTCTAGCGAGGCTCCAGCTGGGAATGAAGCAATCATAGATGACCAGTCTGGTCTCAATTGCCACTAAATTGCTTGCGACTGTCGTTCTCCGCAGACTGACTAGCAGTCGTGAAAGTCAGATTCGTGAGGAGTAAGCCGGGTTTCGTTGATATAGAGGTCGCATTGACAATATCTTTACAGTAGATCAACTGTTGCAGCACCGCCATGTTTATTGTCGATTCACCGTTTCTCAACATACAAGGGGTTTTCAATTCGGTGGATCGACATGCCCTTTGGGACTAACTGTTGAGGAAAGGTGTGCCCGATAAATACGTAAACAATATCAGAGCGTAGTACGCGAATAGTTAGGGCTGAGTCAAGGATTATGGAAAACTGTCGTCGTACTTCAATATCTCCAGCGGCGAGAGACAAGTTTGCCCATTGTCACCTTTCCTCTTTAATCTCACCATTGACTAACTCATGAAAACAGCACTCGCTGGACACAACCTACAAGGTGTGGAGTTAGTTCCAGGTGAAGGACTTCTTGATTTGGAGAATGCGGACGACATTACCCTCATCTGTGACAGCTCCCAAACGTGTCAAGCAACACTGGACAGATTAGCACTGGCTTTCAATTGTTTTGGGCTATGCTTTTCACCCTTAAAATGCAAAGTCTTTCCCCAAGATTGGCAGGACACCACCTCTGCGCTGACTCTCAGTGGTGATCAGCTAGACGTTCAGGAATTCAAGTACCTAGGCAGCTACATTAGCACCGGTGTGATTTATTATGAGGTCAAAAACTGTATAACAAAAGCTTGAGATGCTTTTGCCAATCTCCGCGACATCGCCCTAAAGGGTAGAGTGCATAACGCAACCGTCCGTCCAACCCTTTTATATGGTTGTGAAACCTGGCCCATCAGGCCGACAGACATAATAACGCTAACTACGTTCGACCATCGCAGCTTAGCTCATGTCTGGTGGGAGAACCACAAGTGCAATGAAGGTGTTCGGTGTCGCGTATTTGGTGCAGGAAGAGGGAGTGAACTGCTCAGCACTAGTGTGTTACGCAACAGACCTGATGGCTAGGTCACGTGTTGCGCATGTCAGCCCACCGACTCCCGTTCGTATGTTGTTTGCCTACCGCGGGCGTGGGTGGAAGATGATGGGAGGCCAAGCAATGATTAGGTCAAGAGGAATGAAGGTCCTCACTTCGAAGTTGGCGTCCATTTGTGCATCCCGAAGGGGTCCCAAGGACGACGAACTCACTTGGTCGCACACTTGCTGATATGGCGAAGTGCCTGCCCCAATGGCGTTCGTGTTATGAGTTTCTTTTCAAAATTCTTCACTCCTTTAGAATCCCCTCCCATCACGATCTCATATATAATGTGACACAATAGTTAACATTATAGTACTCACTAGAGATTTTGTACTATGTTCTTTTCATACTGTGACACAGTAGCTGTGTGTTGCTCACTCTCAGCAAACGTGTTTGTGATGATGAGAACTGAAATATCAAATTTATCCAAAGTCGCAAATCCCTAGATTAGCTGACCCACAAAAAGATCAGCAAAAAGATAAACAAAACTGCTTCTCAACGATTTTGACGCCTTCACTACCTATTTTCAATCGAGTGAGAGCCCGACTTGTAATCCGTAGACGTGGGTTCAAGTCTGCGTAAGGAGCGAGTGACCATTGCAGTACCCTTAGCCCACGTGAGACTGGCAGTGGCTGCGCGGCAGCAAAGCGTCGATAACGTGCACCGACGTACTGCTGATGAGCTCATTCCTGCCCTTCAGTTCAATGTGCTCAATCGAAACCTGCTCTACTACTGGTCAGTTGTAACCAGTCAAAAAGTTGGCAGCAGTACACTGGCACACAAAACCGACGCTTTGTTACGCGACCACCACGTCGCGCGTGGCTTGTGTATACCGCGAGGACCCCCGCTCCTACGCGGATTACAACCAGTGACCTAAGGACTGCAAGCCAGGAGTGTAATTCTCTTGGCCATCGGCCGACGTTTGCATGAGACTTTTACCAAACTGAGTATAACTTTTTATAAGCCGACCCCACTCTACAGAAATGAGTGTCAAAATTATTGGTTTATACTCGGTAATATAAGGTAGAGTTATCGACAGGGCAGGAGTGACGCTCCGCGTTTGAATGTGAGCTGAAGCTAGAAGATAAATGCCCATCAAAGCTAAGCGGGGTAAGGTCAAGAATTGCGGGATGAAAACAGTAAATAAAAGTGAAGTCGAAAAGAGGCGATAAGGATAGAAGACGTAAGAAGGGGAATAACAAGACAGAGACGCTTGAGAAACAGCACCCAAAACTCCATCCACATCGCTCGATGTAATATATAGGGCGCCAGGACACCAAGAAATCGATAGAAAAATTGTATCGCGTAGGCACCATCATCATGAATACACGTTAGCTGAGGTTGAGAAACACAAATCAGCTAATGTGCCGCGATACAAAAAGATAAGATACAAAAAATTACACTAAACAAAAATTACAAGCAATATACTGTTAAATATTATATGATGCGATTCGTATGAGACCGGAATTGGAAGGGGGAATTTACACGGAGGATAGAAAAAGTAACGGAGAACACAAATGCCATTGGGACGAGCTCTTTGCCATATTAGTCAGTGTGTGCATTCAAAAGTATTCATCGTCCTTTGGACCCCGGCCAGGTAGTCGGGATGTACCAATCGACGCCAACTTCAAAATGAGGGTTTTCATTTCTCGCAACCAAGTCATTGCATGGCCTTACCTCCTCCTCCATTCCCACCCCCGGCGCGCAAACAATACACGACGCGGGAGTCGGTGTGCTGCTGCGTAACAAGTGGGATAGCTATCGAAGCCAGGTGCGTGATATACTGGTGCTGAGCGGGATGCCGTCGGATTGCCCAGGCCTAGACAAGAGAGCAACTAGGATTCTCAAACAAAGCGTTTGATTCAAAAACCTGACCGCAAGGCAACGGCTTTGGTAGTGGGGTGGAAAGAGGTTTTAGGGAATGAGGAGCCACCCTCAATCTAACCCCCAACCCGGAGGACGAGACTGTTTGTCCGGCCTCTAACCAATGACCAATCTGGTATAAGTGGCACTGAAGATGCAAAAAGCACCACCCAATATAGCTCAATAGATCGCTGAGACACGAAAACCATCGTACCACGGTAAGATCAAGCTTTATTGCGATAGTAAAAACGGCAAAACGTTGAAAGAATCCATAAAATAAAGAAAATGCCTTGAAAAAGCATAAAAATAGTTGTTTTGCTGGCGTCTTGTCTCATCCGGTAAGTGCCGTTAGCATTGTTACCCTCGCTACCACTTTTAACATTCATGTTGATCTCCCATATGAGGATGAACTGGAAACGAGCGTTTAATGCTCACGAACCTTACCCTCCTTTTCGTTTTTAGCACCATTAGAGGATACCTTGGAAGCCTGCTACAGTCCGATCGCATTGATGCTCCTCCAACAGCTGTAGCAAGTTTCACCACTTCGTCTCGCAGGCTGGCCGGCGATGGTCTTCACTTAGACCGAACGGCATCAGCAGTACACCGGTACGCGGCGCCGGCGATTCGCGGCCACACAATCACCACCAGTCGCGTGAGGGCTAAAGATAACGCGAGAGTTGCCTGGTGCCCTACGTAGGCTGGAACCCACGACCCTAGGGTTGCAATGCAGACGGTCCTATGGCCACGGACCCCCCCTAAGAGAGCCTATGTAGTGAGCTGGAGATTTCCCAGTTTGATTGAGGACTGTTGTGTACATAGCACAAAATCAGTTTTACTATGTACCTGGGGAATTAACCGACTTGTTTGTTCCAGTGTTGCTCACGTCTGTTTGAGTCAGCACATACACAAGCCTTCAAGACAAGGAAGCGACCGGTTACCAGCACCCATTAACATTTTTACTAAATAGTTTCCTTCTTAGTGCCTTATTTTTATTCCTAGCTAGTTGATCACTCTCTTAATAGAACTTTACCTAGCTTGTTTTTCGTGTTCTTCCAACCACCTATGGTCCACCGTTTATTCGCGTAACCGATATATAACGCGCGGCTACCGATTATACAGACAGCGGGAACAAAAGGCAACGCGTCGGGCTATCTCAGGTCGGTTTAACTTCGAAGACAAAAGTGTATATACCTGTGTGAACATCCGATACTGAAAGTGGTATCCATTGGTTAAAAAGAAACCAATCTGGACCAAGTTATCATTCAACCGTTGCTGCCTTTAGTTGCGATTGTAATACGGAAACACAAGATTCCAACCCAACGGGAATGAAATCGTCCGCTCAAGTGGCAAAGCCAGTCTGTTTCTCAAAAATGTTTCTGCGCACAAAAGAATAACATTAAGAAAACAGAAGAGGTACATTGTGGAAAATTAGGTACTTACGATTTCGCACTGCATTCAAGGAACATAAGATCATGTTCGGCGGCGAATTGTTTCGCATCCTCATAACTAACGTCCCGCTGCTCTTCAAGATCCGCTTTATTTCCTATTAGGAAAACAACCGTGTTATGGCAAGTAAGACGTCGGGCATCAGTTAACCAGGTGTTGATCTGATTGAATGTTGACTTCCGAGTGATGTCGTACACCAAAAGGGCGCCCGCGGCTCCTCGATAGTAGGACCTGGTAACCGCGCGGAAACGTTCTTGGCCAGCAGTATCCCAAATCTGTAATTTAATTTTTTGGTCGTCCAACTCTATTATTTTTGTGGCAAACTCTACCCCGATAGTATGTGGGCAATCGGGGATAACTTGTTCGGTAAAGGCAAAATCAAGATTTCGAACTTACATTTTTTCTCCGTAAACTGGTGCATCAAACAACTTTTCCCGACTCCCATATCACCCACAATAATGTACTTAAAGATGTATGAATAATTATAACCACTTCCTATGGACATATTGAGCACAGACAATACAATAAAGGAGCCAAAGCAAGAAGGAAAACCGGAGATGCGCCACAGATCGGTCACAAGGTAAAAATCTACGAAGAGAACAGTTGACAGCAAATGGAAAATTGTGTTGACCAACAGGCTCGCGGGTAGTGGAAAGTCATGATTCGGGTGATACACGATGCATTCTTTTAGCCGTTTGTCTTAATGTGGATAGATAAATAAGGTGAAATACTTGACGGTTTACTGAAGCCTCTGTGGCGATGACCTTGATGCGGTAACATTTTTTTGACGTGCTAGACTTTGGAGTCTTTCAGGCGCACATTCAGATTCAGATTCAGATTCAGATGGACTGGAACGATAGGAAAATCCCTTGAGTGTTCCTTCTTGAGCAAATTGTTGAGCCAGGAAATGATAAGGTGTTAGTTCTTGATAGATCTAAAACGAAACACCCGAAACAAACCCTGATCAACCAACTACTGCCCACGTTCCCTGCACTAGCAGTCCGCGCTGTGTAGGTTACGTGAAGTAAGAAAGAAGTAGAAAGTAAATGGAAGATAAAGGGGAATGAAAGTCATTAAAATGAAGGATAACACCAAAGAGTGAAGATAATGACAGAATAAGAACTGAAAGTTTGAAGATGGATATGGTCAGGAGAAGGGAAAGGTTTCGTGTTGCCACCCAAGAGCGTCTATCTGACGCTCGAAACCCTTAACCGTAGGTTCACTGACTACATTTTCTGGAAGCGAGTTCCAGCGCTCGATAACTCTACGCGATAACCGAGTTTCCGCCCTGATCCCGTCAGAACGCGGCTTGTGTAGCTTCATGGGATGACCGCGAAGACAAGGCAACCTAGCCGGGCTAAATAGCCAGCGCAAGTCCGGCCCGACCTTCCCTGTTAAAATGCGGTAAGTAAGGATTAGGTCTCCTCGAAGCCGTCGGTAGTGCATTGAATACATACCCAAGCTAAGTAGACGCTCGGGGTACGATTGCCCCCGTAACCCCTCGACCAATTTGGTACCTACTCTCAAAACCCTCTCAAGCTCCATTTTGTCCCGAACAAGGCAGGGCGCGCAAGCCTGGATGCAGTATTCCAGATGGGGCCGAACGAAAGCTGAGAATAGCTTCACAAATATGTCGGCACTTAAGACCCCGAAAGAACGGCGTATTAACCATAACATTCTGAAACCCCTACTAGCGGCCTTCTTCCAGTTGTCACCAGAATGCAAAGACGAGGAATGAACGACATCTAGATCTATCTGGTTGGAGACAAGGGGGAGTTCGACCCCACCGAGTACGTAGCTCGAAGGCGGGAAAGTTGCTCCTATACGAAGGACGGAACACTTAGCCTGATTTATGGGCAGTAGCCACAAAGTAGACCAGTCCCAGAGTCTGTCCAGTGCACGCCGTATGGCCTCCGAACCCCCAGGAACATTTACAACATTCCATAACTTAAGGTCATCAGCAAACAATAAGGATGATACCCCAAGCTCTCCAGGGAGATCGTTTACGTAGATGGAGAACAGCATCAGTGCAAGTACCGAGCCCTGTGGGACACCGCTAAGGACCGCTTGCTTAAAGGATAAGCTGCGACCCACACGTACACACTGCTCTCTTCCCTGCAAAAACGCAGATACCCAGTGAAGGGCGCGGCCAGATACGCCGTAGGACCTCAGCTTATGTGATAGCCTCAAGTGGGGTACCTTATCAAATGCTTTCGAGAAGTCTACGATACGCACATCCACTACGTGGCCATTGTCCACTGCCTCGGCTCAAGCTTCACGAGCAACCAACAAATTCGTCAAACACGAAAACCCCTTCCGGAATCCATGTTGTGCACTGCTGAGCAGATTAAATCTATTCAGGTGACATTCCAACGAATCTCTCACCAGCTTCTCAAGCAGTTTGACCACAGCGCTAGTCAGACTAACTGGCCTATAATTGGCTGACAGACTCCTGTCGCCATTTTTGAAGATAGGACAGATGACAGCTTCCTTCCATTCGGAAGGTAATGTATAGGTGTCAAGTGATTTCTGAAACACCATCGTCAGCGGTCCACTTAGTTCCCCCGCCAACTCATGCAGAAGCTTCGGGTGAATTGAATCAGGGCCAGCTGCTTTGGAAGGGTTCAGTCCATGCAGCAGTTTAAGGACTTGAGTTTCCACCACAGTACACTCAGCTAAATAAGAACCATCAGGTACTCTGAGGACAAATTCAACGCTAGTCAACGCGGCCTCACGTACAAAAGCCCCTGCATACTGTTCCCCAAGTACACGAGCCTTATCTGAGTCCGCATACGCACGAGTTCCATCGGCCCTCATCAAAGTTGGGCTTACCGAAGTTGAACCACAGCGTCTCTTAACATAAGCGAAGAACTTCTTCGGATTTTCCGAAGCTCCGTCAGCCAATTCCTTTTCGTACACCAGCCGAGCTTTCCTTAAGTGTTGTTTACACCTATTTCTAGCCTCGCGGTACCTAGCATAGGTGTTAGTTGATGGAGCCGCACGGTAGGTCCTCCAGCACCTAGGACGCTTCTGGAGCAGGTGCTTGCCAGTGGTATCTATCCACGGCGGCCGCGCCCGTGTCTCCTTTCTCCTCGCAAGCGGGATGTAGGGAGTAGACACTTCCGTGAGATAAGATTTAGATTTATCCCAGGCCGCCTGAACCGTATCAACCACCGAGATTTCACAACGCATCCCAGCAGCCTTGGTACGCATTGCCTGATAGTTAGCACGCCATATGTTTGGAAATGGCTTAGCAATGCTCTGGTGACGCCTGGTCAGACTACACCTGAAGGATAAACAAACATGATCGCTAGCACCTAAGGGAGAGCCGTAAGTGATGTCCCCTACGAAGTATAGTGACTTGGCAAACACTAGATCCAAAATAGATGGGAGTTGGGCGTCCATGTACCTAGTGGGGAGGTCCACGAACTGATACAACGGTACTTGTAGCGTAAGCTGAAGTAGATCTGCCCCGAAAGTACCTTCTGCCGAGTTGCAAGAAAGATCCGCCCAGCAAACTTCTGGTAGGTTGAAATCCCCCAGTAGCAAACAGCTGTTTCCGGATTGGGAGCGAATAAAGTCAAGCACCTCTTTGGACGCACTTCCAGGGCTTCTATACACAAGTACGACTGTAAGTTGAGCTGTGGAAGTGTTAATCACTACCGACAGCGCTTCGACAGTTTTATCTGCCGTCTGAAACATGTAGGTGCGTGAAACGTCAAGTTCACACCTAACGTAAAGCGCAACGCCCCCGCCCTGTCGGCCAACGAAGCGATCACATCTAAATAGTGCGTAGCCAGGCAGATGTACTTCACCGTCCGTGATGTCTTGAGACAGCCACGTTTCAGTGAATGCAAGTATATCGGGATGAGACCCATCTACAAGCAGACCTATCTCGCACATCTTATTCCTTAGGCTCCGCACATTGCTTAGCACTATTTGAAGGTGCTCGTAATGTCCAGCCCTGGGTCGTGCGCTACCAGTACTGGCACTGGTAGGGCGGAAACAGACCGCCGGCTGACCACCCCAACATATCATGAAGAGTTGTGTTTCACTAAACAAGTGCAACAAAATTTATCGGTCGTAATTTTTTTCTCTTCGAAGATATGACGTCCGAAAGTGTGGACTGTGGCTAAGTTGTCACCTGGTCAAAGTCCGTCTAGGGCACCCATTGCGCTAGCTGGACACACGTAGGACGCTATAACATTGGTCATGATCTCTACCAATGTCTACAGCAGACTAGCTAAAAATACATGTTTTCATTGCGACCCTTGTCTAGCAGTGGGCAGCGACAAAAAGCCCTGATTAACCTACGCCCCTTCGGGATACGTGCAGCTCCAGCACAAGCTAACTATGACTGTGAATCATCTGTTCCATGTGTATATTGCCCGGGTCTGGTTACTTTATGCCTAAATGGTAATGAAGCCTTGCCTCCTCCACTACGTTGGTAGTAACGCCGTTGCCCTTCGGGTGTGTTAATCTGTCATGAAGCGAAGTGGATTTTCCCCTTCCTCAGAGGTACATAACTAACATGTAGTAACTGTAAAGACCAGTTAACTTCAACCACATCCAAGTAATGACGATGACCTGTGCGATTGGGGCAAGCAGAAATGCTGCAGAAATAGCAGAAATGTACCGAGTCAACAGACCGAAGACGAAAAGACAACCTCTAGACCTAAGGCAGATCAACGTAACCAAACTCATTATTGACAAAGCTGGTCGACTTGCTAGACTCCTTAATGGAAAACAAACGCTATAAACTCCAGGCCACTCAGGAGGAAACGAAATACCTCGTGAGTGTTGCTTAAAAATTGCGAACGCTCCTGAATCCGACAGAGTCACCGACTGAAAGGTTCTACACATATAAGCATTTTTGACGCGGACGGTATACATTCTGTTTGATTAAGACGAGCAGTGTATCCACCTCGTCTCTGCTTGCGGGCTTGATAGAAAGCAAGAAGACCCACCCGAGACTCGCGCGCCATAAGTCGTCTATCAGAATAGTTATGAGTGCAACTGCATCCTCTGGCGAAGTTTGAGCCCCCAAAAAGAAATCTTTGTCCTGAAAGCCTTTCCCCTAATAATAGAGTAAAAATGACACGAGCCGTCACCTAGCCGCGTACTCCCGAGTGAACAGCGAGACTCATCTTCATACTGTTGGTTCCCGCTCTGTTCGGTAAACCCAGCGCACTCGTTTGAAGCCAACCTGCTACCCATTCCCCAAGTCTAAATAGCGGCTTGCGGGTGATATTTGCTAATGTATGCGGCCTCAAAATTAAGTTCGACAGCATCGCTCTTCTCATGACTGAGCATCAGCCAGATTTACTGGCTTTTACCGAGACCTAGTTGTTTCCGTTTGTTCAGGATATCAGCTCTTACTTGCTGACCATACCATCGTGCGGCCTACGTTGGGATACTTCTCCACTCACGGTCCCGCCGCAATGTGCAGTTTATCGCCGCCCTCTGAGACAATGGCGCTATCTCGGCTACACTCTGGTGCCGAACTCGTAACAGATATCAACTACCTGCTAACAACTACCGCTAATAACTAGGAGCCTTTATCCAAATGTCATAGCTGGCCACAGATAATCTCACTTGGCGTCATTATCTGTCGTTCGTCTTACCTTCATCACTGCTGTTTAGAAGCAGCCTGTCGTCGTAGCCTTTATGCGCATCTGCGCATATCGGAACATGTTAGGAGCAACACTTTAGCTCCAACCTTTATTCTCAGACTGTCCGCATCACA